ACACATTAGTTGGAAGATGCCTTATCCTTGGAAGAAAGAGATGGAAGTGTTTATCTTTCAGGTTCCACGAGCCTTTGGCAGACTTGTGTGGCTGAGGAGAAACAACAGCCAGGAAAAGATTGCCAGTAAATGAGTACATATTCTGAATTTCATGCCAGATGGTCACTCACTTAGGAGAGAGGCCTTAGCTTTTGTGAAAACAGTAATATACCTTGAAATCTCCTCGAGTGGTTTTACTACAGTTTACTTGAGACAGAGCAAGGAATTCAAGAGAAGACAGCTGGCTGCTGGTTTCTATTCTGCCATTTTTTCTGGATGAGGCTCTAACTTGGGAATAACTTTCATGACCATGATCTGGAGGTCTTGTGGGTTGGTAGTATAAAGGAAACTTTATACACAGCTAAAGCCCTATATCAACATGAACATAGTGGACATGGAAATGCAAAGCCCAGCACACCTAAGGGAATGCCTTAATGTTTCTAAGATAGTTGACTGCAGGGAATGGAACACAGTCTCCATTTTCAGAAGATGAGTCCAATTTTCACAAACAAAGGAGAACAAATCCAGCACTTTAACAGTTATATTCCTGTGTACATGTGCATATTCCTGACAGAGCTGACCTGAGTACTTTAAACATGGCATTTGTATTGGATATGCAGGTGCTCCTCTGTGCAAACAAACAATGTTTTTTCCTTACCCTTTTTCCAATGTCACTGAACACATTTGAAATTTATTTTGTAAACTAGGAGAGAGTGGATAATCTGGCTCAAATTAAAAGCCATGAATCCAAATTAAAGTCCTCCAAACTTTGGAGAATTCACCTTCTTATCCTTGATTCAGCTCAGGTCAGAATTTTATTTCATGAAAACAGCTTTTTTTTACATGAGCTCTTCCATTGACTGAGAATCCTGGCTTGGGTTTTGAGGGATCAAATGCTGTGCAGATTGGGCTGACTGCTAATTTAAACACAACATCTAAAAACTAATTACCCAGATCATCATTAACGATAATAGCCTAGTGTGACCAGAAAATAATTAAGCATTCTGCATTCTCTTGTTGTTTTTAGTCTCTGCAAAAAATGCCTACTGCGCATACTGACTCAGTGGGGAAGGTGTTCATTGCTGATTTACCAGCAAATTCTTTTTTCCTTAGTGGAAGGATAATGAAAGAAGCAGAAATCTGACAGCAGGAGTATCATGAAGTGATTTGGTAGACAGCTGTCTGACAAAAATCTGGAAAGAGAGAGTGAAGGAGGAGAAGAAATGGTATTGAAATACAATGACAAATTCACAGGAGGAAAAAAAAGGCAGGAATAATTTCTTGTCTGAAATGCTCAGCATGGTTTATTTTAAGGCTAAGAAGCTGCACTGTGGACTTTATGATGCGTACAGCTCTCGGGCAAAAGAGAAAGACTTGACAGGGCTACGTCTGGAAGCACCCAGCACCCTGAGTGCTGTTTGAAAGCATGGGGAACGGCGGTGCTCAGCCTTGCCCCTGTGCCTGCTGAAGTGGCTTGAGGTTCAACGGTGGTGCAATTCCAGTTGCTACTGGAGCTACTCTGTACAGGTGACTATCTCTGAAATTTGGTAGTGTCTTCTTCTGGCATGGCACCAAAATGCATGGTTTTGATACTTTTAAGTCCTTACATCTTCAGTCTTGAGTCTGCAATGTCTATTATTCTTGATAAGGATTTTCTTTTGAAACAGAAGTCATGATTGGCTCTCTTAACAAGATGAGCAGAAAGAGTGAATGGATTAATTACATCTTTTCTAGACAGTGCGAAGTCTAAAGGAAAGCTAGAAAAGAGACACTAAAGGAAGGCCAACCCAATCTATGTCAAGGGAAAATAATCAACTGAATACTTATTTTCTATCTGGAAAATGCTCTATGACAGATTGAATGATTTGTGAACCTATATCTTTATGTTTCTGAAGAACTGTGTAAGGAAGACCATGTTTGAACAACTATTGGCAACTATAGGAAAACTGTATAGAGAATAGAGTAATATTAGATATAATTATTGTTTCATTATACCTCATAAGTTTTGAAAATTAGGGGACATACAGATACACATTCAGCTATATTGCCATTTTTCACATATACTGAATGAGAAAGTCTCTTACAAGGACTTCCAATTTCCGTTTGACAGCTGCTCCAAACTCAAGCTTTTGGAATACAAAGCATCTGTATATACTGTGTATATTTCAAGTGAACTGCACCCAGTTTGCTGCCTCAGATATGGATTTAGTCTTACGTCAGTGATCACCAGAGACTGAATTCAAAGGGACAGATTGACAGATGTTGTGTAAGAAGCCCTGGGCCATTTTAGGAGCGTGGCATGCCTGCCTCGGTTTCTGTGAGGGAAGGAAATATTTGTACCATTTCCCCAGCTGTAACTACTTTTATGGATGTGCCTTTTAGGCTACTTCATGTCCTTTGGAAACACTTGAATTTAGAGTGGACTGAGAAACAGACTGACCCTAAATGACTAAACTTCCACTTAAACTTGAGAAGAAACTTCTTTACTGTAAGGGTGACAGAGCACTGGAACAGGCTGCCCAGGGAGGATGTGGAGTCTCCTTCCCTGAAGACATTAAAAAACCGCCTGGACGCCTTCCTGTGTGATCTCATTTAGGTTCCTGCTCTGGCAGGGGGTTTGGACTGGATGATCTTTCAGGGTCCCTTCCAATCCCTAACATTCTGTGATTCTGTGACTAGACCAAAGGTACAGCAAAACCACTGCCACCTCTCCACCAGTGGCACAGGGCAAGAATATGCTATTTCAAAATATTTTACCAGCCTTGAGATACTTGCAGCTCTGGAAACTGCTGGGACAGAGGTGGTATCTATACAGAATTTTCTGATTTTTTTCTAGTCTTGAAGTCATTTAGTTTTTAGCATCCATGACAACCTGACATTTGCTGGTTTCACTTGATGTACCCTTTGCTTGATTGGAGGAGACAATGAATAATGATTTCCTTAACAGTTTGTGTTGCCTGGGGTCTGGTAGTTACCATTTCTTCTCTTCAAATGCATCTTTTCCAGCCCTGGAAAATGATTTACTTGGTCTTTGTGCTCCAAGTGATTGGACCCTTTCTAGTGAAGGATACATCTCTGCCATGCTAGGTGGTCCACAGTGGGAGCAAACCCCTCCTGATATGACATTACTGAGGTTCTGCTCTTCAGAAACTGTTCTCCTTGGTATGGATAACCATTGGCCCATGTATTCCCTACTATGAATACACAGAGAAGCCACACACTGGAACACAAAGGGGAATGAAATGTAATTTGTTGAAATGCTTCTTCTGTGCTCATGCATGTCTGATGGAAACTGGCTTTGCTCCCAAGCTGATGGGATTTAATGCCTTGACAAGAGTAGGAGCCAGTTCTCCAATGTAATTGTGCCTGAAATGAGCATTGAATGAACTCTTGGCCTGTTTATGAAACAGGTGAATGAAGCTCCCTGAGCTTTCAGTCACTGCTGGAATGGTCTGTAGTATAGAATAACATTTTTCTCCTTTGACACTGATGCAGTAATTAGGGCCTGTGCTCAGTCTGGAAAAATAATGTTGATTGTAGTAGCCCAGTGGCCTGTTTCAGTCACGTCTACCCCTGTCAAGGCTTAATGCCTCTGGGGACCTACAGCTGACCATTAGGAAATACTAGATGCAGGGTCTTAGCCTACCTGAATCTGGGCTTAAGATAGCACTCACTTGTGGTTATGAGTGTTGCGGATTGGCTTATTTGATTTAACCCAAAATAGTGAGATATAATGTAGATTTGGCATCTTCAGTGAAGCTAGGGGGCATTTTTTCTTGTGGATAGTGCACACCAGCAGTGGTGGGGAACTTCAGAACATCTGAGGCTGCACTGTCATAGGAGTACTTACTCTGGTGAGGAGAAGTACAGAAATTCTATTAAAAAAGAAGGCATATATGTTCTTCATGTTCATTTAATGGAAAAAATTGCGAGGGACTTAAGGTTTTATCATGAATTTATAAAAAATTGGAAGCCAAGACCAAAAAGAATCAACATTATGCTTAACCCCTTGCAACTAAAACCAAGCATGCAAGTAGAATCGTAGTTGGAAGGATATGTGGAGCATTTAACCCATCTGCAACTTTACACCTTTGTAAGCCATTAAATACTCTCCAACACCCTATTGAGACTCTATTTTGAACCAATATTGTATAACCAAAAGCTACAGTTGCAATGTGCCAGAAGGAAGGAACAAGATATACTGAGGGTATCTATCTTCTGCGCTGGACTTCTGACAGTGCTTACACTGCACTGTGCCTGGCAACATTTCCTGGCAAAAACTGACTTAGTATGAACTATATATGGAAACAAAAAGAAAGACAGCAAATTTAGAATCCATTCAGAAATTGTACTGCCTGCATGAGATATTTGAGACCTCACTCACTGAAGTCAGCAGAATAATTTTCATTTGCTTCTATGTGTTTAATTAGTTACTAAAACTTGCAATTTTTAGTCAGGTGTAATTTAAGTTTCTGGCTAGTATGCAATTCTTACTTTATTTCAGCCTGGAAATAAAATAAGGATTTATTCTTTCATTTTAAATCTCTATTGTTTAAATGGCAAATGCTATGTACATGCAGTATGGCAGGCATATATATATTCAAAAATATAGGTGGTATAATTTATTATTGATGTGAAAACAAAGATCTGAACTTAGAGTTGTAAAAGTCTCATGAAATCCAAAGTTCAAAATAAATACTACGACTTCTGGAAATTTTAGATACTATCAGGATACACCACAATTAGAGGAAGTGGACAGCTGCCAGAGGTTTAAACTACAACAAATGGTTTAAAGAGTGAATCAAACTACAGAAATTCAGTAAAAATTATATGCTAGACTGACCCTTCTGGTAAAGTGATTGAGCCAAGACCTGATTTATGGACAAACTTATGTAAGCAGTGGTTCTCTCACAGGGATTGCAGAAGAATGATTCTCACCTGATGGGGCCCCTGTGACTTACCTGTATGGAGACGCTGCTGTAGGAACCGCCTATGACTCCGGCAATAAGTAATGGTAAATTCTCTTGAATGGCATATGAACCATCAGGGCACATATACTCTGTTTCATCCACTTTAGTCAAAGATGCCCTGACGAACTCCAAAGACTGTTCTAAGGCATATGTATCCCTTGAACATGTGTCCAAGATGTGAACTCCAAGCTTAATTCCTGGTAGCAAGTAGTTGTCTCTGTTGATTTCATCAATGGCAAATAACATGGCCTCCAAGCGCTGAATGCCTCGGTCTTCGTTGATTCTCCCACATTCTTCTATCCCAGTGCCTTTTTCATTGATTGGGAATAAGCCACCTAAGACCAGGTCTCCTTCTATCTTAATTTCCTTCCTTACGAAGTTGTGGTCACTTAAGGAAAGGAAGACTCCTTTGGAAAATAAAGCTAGAGCAAGGACTTGGAGTCTGGTGAACATCTTCATTGGTCCTGTTTTAGCAGCTCTAAGAAACATTGGTGGGAGCAAAAGTGCTCTTCAGTCCTTCTGATCCATTACCAAATTTGAAGTGCTGTCCCACAAGCAGGTGAACAACAAGCCAACAGTTTTTTCCACTGGACCTCTAAAAGAGAGAAGGAAGGAATTAGAAAAGGCAAAAGGAGATGCAAGCCAGTCCTCGGATCTATTTGTTTCATTACAGGCTAAGCACTTACTATGAAAGCTATGCACAAAGACCAGAGACATGGATGATATATCTGATGTTGACCACTTCTCAACAATGTTTTACATTGTGTAAGGACCACTTCTAACATTTTTTGGGTACCATCCTCTCTCATTCCATCTTCTCTCTCTCTTCTGGACTCAAAGTCTTATGTGTTCTCATTCACTGTGTTTCCAGCTGCTTCTAGCCTTCTCTTAATATTTTTTTTTTTTTTTTTTGCTAATTGCACTCTACTTATTATTCCTTCAGCTAGAGCACTGTCACAGTATTATCTCCTCGCTGCTAATTTTTGCTGAACTCAGCATTTGGCCTTCATATCCAAAGTCTCTTGCTGAAGTCCGCCTGCCCTACTTCCCTTTACTAGCCTGCTCACCTGGTGCAGGCAATGAGAGGATGGGAGAAACCTCTTGGGGCTTTGCCACTATTTTTGGGCTGTGAAAAATGTTTGAAACACAGGAGAAGCCCTGTTTGACCAGGTGGAAACTGAACGCTGTGTCTGTAACAGAAAAGCAATCAAGTCCGTGTCATACCATTTAGCTGTCAATATGTTCCCTGGGACAATTTTGACTCAGGTCAGCTAGTAGTCTTCTAAAGAGTAGTTAGCCATGGTTCATGGGCAAGCAGGAGACCAGAGATCATGCCCAATAAACAGTTTTCATGTGGTCACAGTGTTTTGGTCATTTTACTCTGTTGCAATCACCAACAGAGAATAGTCCATGGTCCGTTTGGTTATTAACACTGCAGTTCTGCAAGACATTTTACTATGTGACCTACAAAGGTTAGTTATTATGTGGAAGGCCTGGAAACTGAACCTGCCTCTCCATCAAATACCTTAATCACAAAAACTATCCCTCCTTAAGGCACAAAAGATTCCCTTGCAAGCAAATTAAGTTAAAAAAAAAAAAAAAAAAAGAGAGAGAGATGAAAGAGAAAAAGAAGAGACAAGATAAGGAGGAGTCTCATACTTGATGTTTACTTATGGCTGGACTTGCTCTCTTTAATGTTAATCACAGTTCAGAGCTCCGATTAAGGGGAGAACAGAGCAGTGATGTACATACTTAAGATATGATTTTACTCTCACTAAGGCCAAGACAGTTTGACAATGACCTTAAAAGGAGAAAAATCAAGCCTTAGAGTGAAGATAATGTTGTAACAATTTTGTAACTAAATACACATACACAAAGTCTATTTATAAAACACAGATGCATGATTTGTCCATAGACTCCTTGTCAATATCTCTTCAAATATGACAGTGGCTGCCTTGATATTCAAATCCTCAGATAAATCAATTGTGATAATGTTTAAATGGATTGCTTTAATAATTTATTTCTGTAGTTATCTATTCCTTAACAGGGTGTATATTATTATTAGAGTTGCAGGGCTATTTGTAATTTAGAAACACTTAACACAAAGAAATTTAAATAAGCAATAATTAAGATTTAACACTGAATGATGGATGAGCATGCTTGTTGCAAGGCAGTTGTTTATCCTGGAACAATTTCAATGTTGCTGTACCAAATTATGTGAAGGGATAGCTTTTTATTCATATTTAGTCCAACATTGTTCTCTCATAAATCAGTAATGTGTCAGATGCACCGTTAAAGGTCTTTCTCTACAATCCTAGTAACATGTGTAGTCTGAGCTGCAGGCTGTCTCAGCAGAATTTTCCATTCAGAAGTAAGTGATATGTCAATGGAAAACAAGCTGCTTCATCTCTCAGTGATCTATAAGTAAGCTAGTTTGTTGATCACATGTGGTTTATTAAGCAGATTCAGAAAATGCATTATCTGGTAATGTTAGGAGGAGTAATGAAGTAACTGTATTCAGCAGTACTTTCTGTGTCAGACTTAGTACTACAAATTATCAAATATTATTCAAGTGAATATGGGGCACATAAAATGGTGATACAATCCCATTGCAAATAATTAGCAGGCAAAAAGGTGACATTTGTCACATAAATGGTTGTGTGGTTAATAATTCAGTTGGACCAACTTCCGTTGTTCTCAACACTAATCCAGCTTTTGGATTGAAACAGGATTTTTTTAAATGCAATATCCATTCTATTTACTTCTGTAGCTTCTGTCACCACTGTATCTTCATACATCTCTCCTTACAACACTGGTAAAATATTTATTTTCCCTGTTTTACACTTAGGGAAAAAGAGGCACAGAAAGATGAAATGAGTTTCTCAGAAGACTCTAAATTCAGATTTTGATTTGCTCGGCCCTCACAGTCACTATCAAACTTTGAAACGTTCTCTGCTTCCCTTTAGGAATTGAAGAACATGCTTTTGACCATGCCCTACACCCCCTGGTTCCCACTGAGGCACTGACACTAAAAACTTGAAGCTAGCTGGTGTCTCTTCCAAGTCTGATCTTGAAAGATTTACCTAAGGTCATCAGCACAGCCAAGAATCAAACTTTGACATTTTCCAGTGCTCCTCTGATACCTTAATGATAAACTTTTATTTTCTATTGCTCCTTCTGTCTTCCATATGAGTCTTTTATAAAGTCATATTAGAACCAGTCTGTTTTCCACAGCCCTTCAACACTACCAAGAACAACTAATTTTGCAAAGAAAAGACTTGTAATGGGATCCTCTATAAGGTTTTCTAAAACCTAACCTGGACATGCCTAGAGCTACAGTGGATGTACCCTGACCATCAAGGAGGCTGTTCTCACCCCCCTGACTCCTTCATAGCTTCTGGTTTCTGCAAATGACATCACCCTCCCTCCGGGATCTATGTGTCTCTGATAGGTCAGTAATAAAGGCTAGAAAGATATTGAAAGTTAATTCAACATTGCACATGAAAAGCCTATATGTAAAATGAATTATACTATAGAGAGAACTGATTTTCCCTGCAAAGGATTTCTATATTTTATCACTTAATCTTGTTACAGTGGATTTGCTGACGGAAATCAAAATCAGCCATGGCACAAGAGAGGATCAGTCCCAGGAGAAGTCAAAGAGCAATTGGAGAAGGTAAGGATGGGGAATAGGCATGACCATTTCTCTGCTTCCTTCTTGCCACTTTATGCTGAGAGCACAGGTCTGAAGGTGTCCAGGGATATGAAGAGAGGAGATGGTGGGAACCTCACTTGTGTTGGCAATGACTCAGCCCCATGATCCCACTCTATCTGGGGACACACTGCTTGGTAGGAGGTGCCCAGAGATGGAGGAAACCCACCCACACCAACTGTCCCAACCTCCCTGCTTGGCAACTCCTGTGAAACAGCTTTTCACAGAGGCTTTGAAACTAGGGAGACACCATGCATTCAGAGTTCTGCTTTCCAGGAAAACATGATCATCCTATTTTATGAGTTCAAATCCTTTGTTTATAAATGGGAGAAGGTTATCAAGAACACAAATATGCTTTGCTCCTTCTGCAGACCTGGCAGCCTGTGCACTGCTGCCCGTGTAGCGGCTTTGCAGTGTCCTACCAAGGAACAAGGGTGCTGTGCAGAGCTTGCTAGCAGAGGCATTAATGTGAAGGCTGGTTTTTCAGGGGAGATTTCCCCTTCAGGCTGTGAGGAAGAGAGGCTTCCAGGAGCAACGGCTTCTCCGTGGTGGGACTCCTGACAGAAGCTGTGAGGCAGATTTGGGTGGCCGGTGAGCAGCATCACTATGGTGACACTGAACAGACAGCTTGACGTGAAGCAGGGAGATTATTTTGAAGCAGTTCACAAACATGGGCTAGCAACTCAGTTTCTCTCCTGTTCTCTCTGGTATGCACCTCCCACATGCTTTCTCTGCAGCTTGCATAACTCATGATTACATATACAAACATTTTGTACCTATTCCAAACTAATACAGCCCATATTCCTCCCTCAACTGTGGTGAAGATAGCACCCTAGAGCCAAGGTTTGCCATTTCCTACTCAAAGTGATTACACTACACTAACCATGCCAATTTGGCTTTGCAGTACACTCTTCTGTTTTTCATTTCTATTTAATGTTTTAATGCGAGCTATGGGTAGGGTTATATTGTTCTCTTTACATTAAAAATATGTACACTCCAGTCCTATAGGCTTTGCATCCCTGGTGGAAATAGATGTAGAGCCTCGGTGTAGAAGCAATCCAAATATCGAAATGAAAATAAAACAGTAACAATAAGAAGAAAGGTTTCCATGCCTGGATCAGAAGTCTTCTGCTGGTAGTTCCTTGTGTGAAATTTAGCCAGCAGCACTCCACTTGTGAACTCTGGAGCCCCTTCTCTTTCTACCAGCAAAGGTTCACAAGGGAGAGCTACATCTGTTCTTGGGGACATTGTCAGCACATCACTCAGTAAAAGCAACTCACTTATTTGTGTTAAATGGCAGCTGCACTTCTCCTGTTGAAAATACCCTTACCTCCTGGTCTGAATAATCAGCTTTGGTGAACTATTTCAGTGCCTGTAAAAAGCTGATTGCACAAATTCATTATTTATTGGTGCAAGTTTGCTTATTTACTAAGGATATTCACATTTTCGTTTCTGTGAAAGCAGCTAGAATGAGAAAGAGGATGTTTGGATTTTCCACATTCAGTATCCCACCAATACAGTTCTGAAATTAAATCTATCTTTCATGGTTTTCTTTCAGAGTTATATTCACAGGACAGCTCTGATCTTTCTCAGACTTTCTGTTTGCAGCACACAGAGTAGCTGCCCCTGTGCTATCAGTTCAGGGGTGAATTCTTTTTAGGCCAAATCTCTTGTTAGTCTATTTTTCTAGGGTTCAAACACCAAAAAGAAGTGCAGTCGAAACTTTCATTTAGCCCGCTGACTTGTAAATGGAGTATGATTGTTAACATCAATGACAAATTTGCTGATACTTTCCACCATATCAACACCAATGGTTGGCATTGACAGTTGATCCAACAGTTGTAAACTTTTCAGTTTCCCACTTATACGGCTAAGAAT